TTTCGAAAATCGCTTCTGTGTATTTTAAAAGGTAAGATCTCAGCCACAGCACCGACGTGTTTTTCTTTACACGGTTTCAAGATGGCGGTCCGCGCTACGCTGTGGTTCAGTGAGAAACAAAGAAGCCGGTCTCCACTTTGAGTCTTGTGTACGTCGTTTCCTGACCGTGACTAAGGGCGAGAAAGTATGTGCTGCTCCTCTTTTTTAGAACAGATTTTTGTTTAACAAAAATGTCTATCTTATATTTTGTAGTTTCCAAATGTCGTGTTGCAATTTTAGAAAATACGGAGAACTCAACGAAAATTAGACTTGTGCCATTCTTTGAAGTGTCACTTCTTCTATATGTGAAAAATGTAAAGAAAAAAATTGGAGCTGTTTTTTAACAATTTTTTTTAATTACCTATATCTCGCGTAAAATTACACGAAAACTTCTCATTGTTTCGAAAAATTGAACATGACCTTATTTCAAAATCTGTCTTTAAGGACCAGATTTTATCAAGAAAAAATGTCTATTATAATTGTAGGAAGAAGCCCAAAAAATTGCACTTGCCAATTTTCAAAAAATCTGGGATTTTAATGAACATTAGACATGCACCAATCATATAAGTGTCCTTTGTGTTACCCGACAACGAAAGTTAATAAAAACAGTTTGAAGCAATTGTTTTGAAGAAGTTCCAAGGGTAGGGGGATTTAAAGTACCCCATAATTTAAAATATTGGTTTCAAATTAAAGGGGACACATCGGCTTGATCGATTTGGGATTATCAATCGGCTGAACGGTTTAGGCGCTGGTGTTGATCTCGGACAGACACGATTTGCCGTCAATTTTTCGGCAATTTTTTTCGGCAACAAGGATCCACAAAATATGGATTCTGTCTACGCGTGTTAGAGGAAGTCATTTACTACGTATACGGACAATATTTATCCACATTTTCACAGGGCCGGACATTAAAAGTTTTTATGTCGAATAATAGCGTGTTTCCCTTGCAGCATTACAATATTTTCTCTATACTGCTTAAGCACAAGACAGAAGGTAAAAGGGAGCCTCGATACAAGAGCAAATTACTATGAGAAAATTGCCATTCTGCAGGACTGTGTTCTGCTCTATGCTTGATATTTGACTTAATGCATGATATTTAAATTGACTATGGCTTTATTTTGTTGCAGGACCTCATGGTTTTGGGTGATGAAAATATTCACAAAGAAAGGACACTGTTTGATGGTGAGTTTCAAGAAACATTTGATTTTAATAGCCAGTAGCTTTGTGTTAGGAACTTTTTAAAATGATTTTAATTAATTTTTTAATGCTTAACTACAATTAAAATTCTAGAAGCATGGACAGCTGATGATCAAAGGGTAGCATAGGCAAGCTTTTTGCTGACACAAAGTGCAGGATATTAATATCCGAAATTTCTTTTACGGTACCTCTAAAATGTTGCCAGTGGGTTTAAAAATGAAATTGTTGGTAATATTATTGTTAATTAAACAAAAGTGATCCTAATTACAATTATCAGAATTTTTACCAAATCAGCGATGCCCAAATAACGCCCCCTATGCTGCTCTAACGTCACAACGGACAACTCGGACAGTTCTCTTCAAAGGACAATTGACTATGTTCTCTCGGGACTTTGATGATACGTATTTAAACAATCTGTCAATGATTTATTTTTGGTAGTGTGGAGACTATACCACAATAGCAAATGTCAGCATAGGCCTAATTTATTTTCACACGTGCTCTTTACATTATTGCGTAAGTTTTGGAAATAGTTTCAATTGTCTGCATATCAACTTATTTAGTGTCAGTGAATCCAGTACAATGTTTTCACAATATGCATAATTAGGAATTTTTGTAATCGTAACGCATTTTGCTGTAATAATTCAAGAAAACTATCTCAATTTCCACTGATTTCTCGCATACCTCTTTCGGGGCGCAGAAAAACATGTAATGTGCATAATGCTGCGGCGAAAAATGGCGATTTTTGGCAGGAAATGTATTATAATACCGAAATATTGGACATGTGGTAAATAACACGTGGTATATTCAGAATTCACAATTTCTAGTCAATCATCTTCTATAATATTTCTAAAATTATATTTAATTTCGATTAGTAAACCGAAAAGTGCCTTTTTAGGAGCAATATTTTTTTATTAGGTATCAATAGGTTGGTAGCTTTGAAGTATATTGTGGGACAAAACCGAAAATCTAGCCTAGACATGTGAGGTTAGAAAAATAGTACAAGTCGGTGCCATTCTGTAGCATCATTAATTTAACATCCACAAAACATAAGTACACACTTCGAACTGTACATTTCTGAACTAAAGTGGCAAACTGGACTTCCTATTTTCCAGATGGGTATTGAAAAACAAAATGCGTGTTTCCTATTTCTATTTCCACTTTTCTCCAAAAAAAAGCATTTATAATGCACAGAAAAAACAAAAACAAATTGAGTACGTGGCGTATCAAACTTGTCTAACATCTTCAAAAGTGTGACAAACACAAAATGTAGCAGTTAGCTATAGGCGTTCCTTTTTCGATTCGTAGGAAAAATTGTAGCGGTTTTTTAGATGTTTTATAATTTGTATTAATTTTAAGCAGAAATTCCGCGAAACACCTCTCTTTTTTAAAAAAAATATATGATCTGTTTTTTAGATCAGATTTCATTTACGACAAAAAAATCTGTGCAATATTATACTTTTGCAAAGTTAAGTTTTTGTTATTTGCGAACGTACAGAGACTTCAAGAAAAATGAGACTACCGCCAATTATTATACGGTCCTTTGATACATTCGAGAAAATTTGAAGAAAAAATTTGGTACAGTTTTTGAGAGAAGAAATTTCTCACTGTTTGTCTTCCGTAACTTCATTAAACACTTTTTTAACTCGTACCCACATTTCCTCTATTCCGGATTTCTGTTTCTTATGTATTTCTTCATTGAGCTCGCAAGAGGTTTGTCGGGTCACGTCAATGAGGTAATCTTAAATACAATTCGCTGCTTAAATTGTCTGATTGAGGTATTATCAATTTCTCTTGTACATTCGCCACAACAGGATTATGATTGTTATTGTCTTCGCTTGAATGTTTTATAATTTCTTACTACATTTCTAAAATATTTGTTAACCAAAATAAAATCTGATTGTGTACGTCATCATTGTCTTTGTCTTGAGGAGATATGCAAGTTCATGGACGTCTTTTGGGCAGTTTAAATGTCGTATGTGTAACCTTAAAATACGAATCTTGACAAAACTGTTGTGTTATCGCCACTCTCGCATCTAGTTCTGAGTCCTAAATTTCCTCCGTCGTGCAGTCGCTTGTAATCTCAAGTGAGGGTCGCCTCGTTCGCTCGTATTGTCGAGGACTTCACCTCTTCTCTTTTTTGGCTGCATTTGACACGGAAAGAGAAAACAATGTCTAGTGTTTTCATCGCCTTTGTGGTGTACTCTTCTTCTGCTTTGGAGGTTGGACATCTTGAATGAAACACTGCCCAATCTGGATCATCGTGTTCCGTGATGTTTTCTTTTTTTTACGTGACAGTTATTAGTTTCCTCTCGTATTACCTCCTGGTCGTCGAAGCTAGGACACCCCCGCCGCTATAAGGTTATACTACACGGGGGGACTAGTTACAATAGCCAACAAAGAATGTCTTTCATTTCTCTAAAATCAAAATGCTATTTTATGGAAAGGATAATGATTTCGAAAATGACGAGTGTCACGTGACGTGCGATACATGTTTGTGTTCATTAGTTGAAGTAAATAAAATCTTATTTGAAGTGGCGCACGCTCGATCCAATTAATTTACGACAATTTTATGACTATGCTTCCTATGGGTAAAATATTCTGAAATTGAATCAGAAGTATAACTGGCAACCTATAATTAAACTTGCTACTTAAAGTCAACGTCCACGGCGTTTGCTTGCTCTTCTCATTACCTTTGCACGACTTCGATTTCCTGCTAATGAAGTATTTCTGCCAACAGGTGGAGAATATGGTTCAGATATCAGCATCAGAGAGTTGACTAGAGGGAGAAGCGCTTTTGGCAAGTGGCATGCTATCCGAAACAAAGGAAATAACATAACAAATGTGGAAGGGGAATCAAATAAACGCACGCATGAGTGTTCTGTCTGCCAAAAGAGCTATTCACAGAAATGTAATTTAGTTACGCACATGCGGATCCACAGCGGTGAACGTCCTTATGAATGCTCAGTCTGTCAAAAAAGATTCGCAGATGGAAGTAATTTACTTAAGCACACGCGGCTTCACAGCGGCGAACGCCCTCATGAATGCTCAGTCTGTCAGAAGAGCTTCACGCGAAAAAGTAATTTAGTTACGCATATGAGGAACCACAGCGGAGAACGCCTACATGAATGCTCAGTCTTTCCGAAGAGCTTTATACAAAGAAGTCATTTGGTGACGCACATGCGGAGCCATAGCGGCGAACGCCCTCATGAATGCCCAGTCTGCCGAAAGAACTTCACACAAAGAAGCCATTTGGTTAGGCATATGCGGAATCATAGCGGAGAACGGCCTTTTGAATGCACCATCTGTCAAAAACGCTTTAGTGAGAAATATGATTTAGTTGTGCATTTGCGAATACACAGCCGCGAACGCCCTCACGAATGCTCAGTCTGCCAAAAGCGCTTCAAAAGGAAAGGTATGAACACATGCGGATCCACAGCAGTTAACATTAATGCTCAGTGTAGCGCCTCTTCACAGCTTCAAGAGCAGAGTTTAGCTCAGTCCGTGAAGGTTCACTGCGGTGACTGACACTGTTTTCTTTGCTCAAACATCCACTAACAAGAATTTGTCGTGTAGACCCCTGTTGGTCTTCTACTCGAGAGGTTTGGAGTCTGTACAACACGAGAATGCGGAATGTGAAATCTAAATCGTATGTACTTAAAGCTACCCCTTTGGTTGATAGGCTGATAGTCTAAACCAAAATGTCCACGGCAAGGTGTCAAGGGTGCAGCGTCTAATGGCCAAAGAGAAAGCAGGGCCTGGACCACCTCAGGGTGCGAGAGCCGTGGCTCGGCGCGGGCGCAGCGGCGTCGTCCGCGGAGAGTCCGAGTTCGTGTGCGGTCGAAGATGGTTCTTGCGCAGATGCTGCTGATGCAGGCACTGCCGATACTCGCTGAGATAACTGCTGCAGGCCTCCCCCTTCCTCACTTCTCTTTTTGGGCCTTTGGCTATTGCTGTTAGCTTTCCCGTTGCGTTCACTGCAAATGCGCCGTCCCTGAAGCACGCTCTGTGGAAGTACACTTGAGGCACATGCCATTCTCTGTGCAGTTTCTAATAGAGGTCACGTTTGGCTGCGATAACGCTGACCCAAATCAGCGAGTTACGTCGAGAATTCTGTAAATGCAAGAATTGTGCCAAGAGTAGAGCAAAATAAAATACACATTTTCAGGGCAAAGGGTTTATAAGTCTTTATGGTTTGGCTCTTTTCAGTACTGGAAATCCTTGGAAGATAACTAATTTTTCATATTTAAGTAACGACAAAACCCATTTTTGTTTTAAAAAAATGCAACGTCTTTTTACCTACGTATGCCTAACTCCCTCACCTGTGCCAAGAAAACGTGATAATTCACATCAGAAACATTTACGGTTTTCTAAAGCAATGAACAGAGAACTAGATTTACGATGGAAATAGATGCTATAAGCAAATATCATAAATATAACATGTTATACAAGGTATGTTTAAAAATTTCCGGACTGAGTTCCTCGCTCGCAATCTGCTTCACGAACCGCAGACCTTTTAGTGGTGTCCATGGCAATTAACCCGTCGCCTGGTGCGTCTCACTGCGATGCAGCGCTACAGCGATCCTTGTCTGAGCCTGCACCGGCCTACGGTGCAATTCATGAGTCGGCGAATAATGAACGAATTTCGAAGAGTAGCGAGTGTGCGTTAAATTTTAATGTTGACAGAAGTGCTACAAAGACCTCAAACTTTATTCAATAAGTATTTGGCGATGAACCTGTGAGCAGTACCCTACGTTTAGAGTAGTACAAGGGATTTAAATCGGGGAGAAAATCAACCCTCTCCAACCAAATTAAGCTCATGTCTCGGCCCAACGTGAATGACACGCTCATTGTTTATTGCGACTAGCGAGGGCTGATTCATTATGAATACGTTTCTTAAAGTCAACAGTTAATAAAGAATACTAAGTTCAGATGTTGAAGAGGGGAAGACCTGAAATGTGGAAGAATCGAAAATTCAAATACCCTCATGGCAACGCGTCGGCGCACACCTCGTCCCTTTTTCGCCTGATTTGGCGAATAACCGAAAAACGGTCCATCGGTGATCTCGCAGCCTCCCTATTCACCAGGCAATATTTTTATGTTTTCGAGATTGAAATCCACCTTGAAAATCCACCGACTGGACTCATTCGAGAACATCGAGAATTGTACAGCGATTTCGAAAGCAGCGTTTCATAGGGAAATTGAAAGCTTCAAGAAACGCAAGAAGCGATGTCTGGCTAGTCAAGTGATGTTCTTGGAAGGCGACAAACACTTCAGATGTAAATTTGTGTATTCCTGTGAAATTCATGTATTTACTGTTCATTTGTCGGATCTTATAAAGTACTACTTAAATATCTTTATAGTGATTGTTTTATTCGGATTTATTATTGTCTATATACTGCTTGTTGTAATCTTAAATTTTCAGTCTCACATTAAATCATTCTTAGTTACTATCTAGAAAATTTGTTGAATGTTCTATTTGCATTGGTGAGATATTGTGTCTACTTTTATGAATAAAACAATTCTTTTTTAAATATTTTTATTGTGGAATAATTCGAATTCCCTGTCACGTTTAATTCCATTCCCCCGCTTCTGATAATGTTAATGTTAATGTCAACTGGGACTCCGTTCAACTAACACGTTTTATATTACACTTCAGAAGATCAAGCGTTACAAGCCTTTAAAGGATATAAAAGTTAGGAAGAAAGGCAGGAAAATTGAATATCTACCAACTGATAGTGGAAATGAATGTCAATGATGAATTTTAATCCTTTTTGAAAATAGTTTGATAAGGGAGAGATTATCTGCCCAGTACACCCCAGCTGGAAATGATATAAGTCAAAGGAAGTAAGACAATCTAAAAGGTTGATTCAGAAGAATGGTAGAGAGAGTCGTGGTTCAGTGGCGACGTCGCATGCCTTCCACCACTGAGGCTCCGAGATCAATTCCCGTAGAACCTTATGTGAAATTTGTTACGACGAAACTAGTTACCATGCTTCACAGGGCTCCTTACTCCTTTCCTTATTCCTACCCAATTCTGGCCGATGGGTAGACGCGAGCGCGAAGACGCTACCTATCGACTTTGACTGCGACTGACGTGACTTGACTACCCAGGGTCCCTAGAGGGTGCTGGGGAAATAATAAAGGAGGATTACTCCTACAGTAATTAACGGAGAATTACTGCACGGTGACGTGTGTGTATATAGACGCAACAGACCCATTACCGACGAATTCGTTTAGTAATAAAAAAATAATACGTGGAAGATGACAAATAAGCAAAGAGACCAGGAAATAGGGTATGGCGCAGTTGTCATAAATGAGTATAATGTAAACGGCACATGTACGCGTAAATGAGCAAGAATTAGTGCGAAAGGGTTCACGCAGGTGTACGGCGTTGACCACTCACAATCTTTGTGCACCTGTTTCGAAATTATGTACTCGAACAACTCCTGTAGCAACGCATGAAAGTGACATGCACGTCAATTAGACTTAGAAGTAAGTTACCTTAATAGGGAACTAGAAGACACATGAAAATACCAGAAAGTAATGAAAATACTTTAGGTGAACTGGTAAATTCATATGATAAAGAAATTCGAAATTAAGCTAAGAAGAAATAAAGATGGCAAAACGGTTTGGAACCTTGAAAGTATTTGTTTGAAGATTCTTTAGACTGTGATAAAAAATGTTTCACAGTAAACCTTCAGAAATAGGATGGCTTCAATTCAAATACGATAATTGTCTATTAGGGTGACCCTTATTTTTCAACTTTTCAAAAGTTGAGCTCCTGTCCCCTATATCATTCCAATTGATAAAACAACTCCCAAGCGAAATTTCAGATCAATCAGACCACTCTAAAGCGACCCTCATCGATCATGAAGTTTCGAAAGTTTTCGTGTGATTTTTGTTATGCAGTTTTTAATTTTTAATATATTACTAACTATACTTACATTTAAATTAACTCATTTTATAATCACACGAGAAACGAAAATTCAGTATAATATTTATCTAAACGAGTGCCAAACATAAGTGTTGCAATGGGATGAAAAGTTACTCTCGACACTCGAAGGTGTTGAGGTTGATAGGCCTGTAATAGTAACTTTTCCAGGAAAGAAGCAATTGCTAGGAGTGCCTAAAATCCCATATTCAAGAAAAGATCAAGCCATGACTGTTTACCAAGCAGTAGAAAAGTGGGATATAACCGAAAAAAATGCACTGTGATCTAACCAGAAAGGAAGTAACACAGATCGAGAAATCGGTGCCTGCACAAATCTAGAGAAGTTGTTTAATCGTCCTTCCCACCGTGATCGTACTTGCCATCCTCGGAATCTCACGACCTTCAGCGGATTTCTAAGGCAGCGCATCACTTGGTGTACTGGAGAAGGAGGAGGAGATTTATTTACGTCAAACAGTTAAAACCTGTGTGTGACGTGCTAAGGGGAGAAGTTAATTTGATGTTACATTTTTGTCCAGATGCAAAACAAGGGGCCATCTCAGAATTTGCTCGAGGATCAGGGAAACTGGACGAAAACCTGATCGAGATGGGGGTCATTGTCCAAGAAGCTGAAGTACAATACTTGTTACAGGTTCTTTACATTATACAATCCAAATGGAATAAAATACATTAAATTTCATTGTTAAAATTAACATTACATTCCTTTTGGATGATCGGTATGCTTGGATGTTAGAATCTAGAGTACAAATTGTATTACTAATTAAAAAGGAGAGAGAGGGGAGGGGCGAGGGAGAGAGGGGGGTATAAAAATTATATTTAAAAAAAATTAAATACCGTGTTCTGTCGGTATGAAGAATGGATATTTTATTGATATTTGGCGGCATTTTCTGACACTTCAGACGTAAACATGCTTTGCGATGAAGAAGGAAGGACAATCAAATGACTAGTGTTTAGTGCAGGTCTTGAATATGAATAATTTAATAGTGGCATTCCAATATCATTACCGTACCCAGAAAGCATCAATTAATGGAACATCAATAGCAGATACCAGAATCAATTTTCATACAATTGGCGATGTAAACTGTTAAATACTAAGAAATTTTTGAAATGAGATCCGTTGCGCCCTCTTGAATTATTTCGTAGCTGCCTCAAGAGATCGCTTTGTCTTGAAAAAGGGCGGGCTTGTAAATCTGTCGGCGCCGGCCGCTTACTCTGCCCGCCCTGCGCAGCCGGCCCCGCTCCCTCATTCGTCATTGTTCGCTCGCCTTTCTCGTCCGTGAGCCCCAGACTATCTGTATTAAATTATAATTATCTTATATCATGAGCTCTAGATGTGTGATACGTCACAGTATTTCCAAATATCTTGAACTCTTCTTTTTGATAGATATTGGTGCACATTTGTTGTAGCTCTTTTAGCTTGGAGTTCAGCGATATCATTACCAGACATCTATTTTTGTACAGGTATTGAAAGTTCTAAATGATCAAACTGTAACATTTTGCTAAATAAATATTGATTACAAAAATCTCGCTGGGTTCCGTCGTTGATGCTCCGTCCTCTCCTCCCACCCTTGGAATGCAACTCTTTAACACCTAGGAAGTTGTCTGAGTAGGCAAGTGAGCACTTCTGAACTTCTATTCAATTTTTTCTTCCTTGCCCAAGAAGACGACGAAAGATAACGGTTTTTTTTTTTTTTTTTTTTTTTTTTTTTTTTTTTTTTTTTTTTTTTTTTTTTTTTTTGTAAAATCGAATTGCTGCTGCGAAACCTGTGTATCAGAAGCACACTGCCATTACTTGGGTTTGTTATTACATATCTGTACTTAATATGCTGACGATAGCAATTTTTAACAGTTTATTGGAAATGATTGACAGAGAAGTAAGTGCAGTGAAGATATCTGAAAAAAGTAATTGCATAGAAGTTGGAAGGTTTAATTTTGAAATCCTAAATATTTTTGTGATGTTTAAGTTGTGAACACATCGAGTTCTAAAGTTCTTGAGAGGCTTCGGAAAATGTCTCCAAAAGTTCGAAAATTAACTCTAAGAATATAATTCCAAAGTAAAACATAAGCTGTAAGAAAAAAATTATATATTATCAGATTTCGGAATGGTGCTCAACGAGTTCTAGAGTTCCCAAAACAATTTATAAAAATACAACAAAAATAACGAATTGAATGAGTGAAAATTAAAATTAACGTTTCCAAAAAGAATGAGCGCATCCTAACATGACATGCAACAGGCAAACCCACGTCAAAAGTTCTGAATCAGCCTGATGGCCCGAGTCTCGCAACGTAAAATAAGGCATCAATTGAAATTCACTTATTTATCTGCGTGTATCACGCCTATCTATGTATAAACATGCATCCATTCTGACGTATCCAAATGGATCAAGTAAAGAATCAATAACTGGTCAGATCTAATGGAGTTAATCTTTGTAGTGTTTAGGTTGGCTTATCTGCATGTAACTAATTTGGAGTTCCTAATAAACGGATGGCGTCAGCCAGGTGATATAACGAGCCGTTTGATTTAATTGACAAATACCTGTCCCGAATAAGGTGTTTTCAGTACGTTATTTCTCTTGAATTGTCATTGAAAGATTGCTTGCTCGAAATTTTATGAAAGTCTTTCAGTGACATTGTATTTTTTGCAATATCATTTCCAATTACATCACCTCAGAAGTAGTGAATATTGTAATTATGAGTACCTAAAGTAAGTAAACAAATGCCAATATACTTTTGCAAATCACATTTTGTCATTGGGAACACTACTGGAATCTTTTGGGATTCGTGTAGAATTCTTTCTTTTGCAAACCCCTGCATTAGGCCATCGGTTGAAAAATATTTTACGAATTGATAGGGAGCTTTTCGTATTTGTTATTTTTGAAGAATAATTTAAGCTGCCTTTGAATTTGTCATCATATTCCGTTTTCTCCGAAGACAATTAACACGTTTTGGTTTTGATATGACGGGCGTGTCTTTGCCCCTTTTTCTGAAAAGTACTAATAATGGAAATACCATTGCTATATGATGTTACCTGCACAATACTTGTCTTCTGAATTTTCTGCAGAAGAATTATCCAGTCCAGATGGTGCAGCTCCTTCAGATGCGAATTCGCTGTCTAATGTGGGTGTGGTAACTCCTGCGCTTTTAGGTAGGAATCTGCATCATTGTCTTCAAAATCACTAAGTTCATCTTCACTGAATGAATTCTTCAAGCCTTTCTCAAGTGGCATCTTCTCGCAAGAAACCTCACCAGTCAAATAACCCATCCATACCATATATAGTTTTCCTTCCAAAGTGTATCAATACACTGCTGTTTGTAAAAATTGCAACATCCAGAAGGAATGGTCGGAATCTCTTAAAAATCGATAGTTGTGTAGAACACTGTGTCCATAAGAAGTGATTAATTTTGCATTGATGTGGCGTGCACGTTGGCCTAGCAGCGTCTTCTTTTGCATGGCAAGTCAGGTCAGTGTTACGCCACACCTAGTCGGTGTAGAACCTTCAAACAACGTGGAAACGAACAAGCAGGTCCCAGGATGCCAAAGGGCGCTTTGTCATACCGTAACATTGCGGCTCGAACGGGGCGTGCTGCTACGACAGTGATGCGTGTGTGGAACCAGTGGATAGAGGAGGGTGCGTAGCGGCCAGCGGGTTCAGTACAACACAATGTGACCACAGCGCAAGATGACCGCCGTCTTGTCGGCATGGCCATAAGCAACAGAGCGTTCTCGACAGTGTTGGCTCGACTTTGGAGCACTTCAGCCGGTGTGGTCATAACCTTCGTCGACAGTTCGTCGTCGTCTGTTGAGGGCTGGACTGGTGGTACAAAGAAATTTTTCCTTCAAATAAAATTTGCTCTGCATATTTAGTTATTTCAATGAGGAAATGTAGTTTTTTTGAAACTTTTAGTAGTTTTCGCGTAATGGTTCGTGCAATATGTGCCATTTTAAAAAATAACAAAAACGAAATTTTCTCACAAACGACCCCATTTTTTTCTTTAAACGTTTGGTAGCGACAGTAAATGTACTCTATGAGATGACAAACTATTCTTTTTTTTCAAAAAGACATTTATTTATGAAGTCATCCGAAAAATTTCAAAAAATTAAAGGAAAAAGTTTGGAGACGTTTTTTAAAAGAGCTTTGAAAATGTCCGGGAGTCCCAAAAATTAATGAATGTTTTTCAAAATCGCCGAGCGTCGACTAAGGCCGGATCGAGAGGGATTCAGTTTGTAAAAATTTGGCATAATTTAGGTGCTAGTGTAGTTCACATACACCAGACGGACGGACGTTTTGAAGAAAAAAAAATTTCGGTATAAGGGGACTACAAAACGTGTATTTCCATTCAAATTTAGAAATCAATTTTCCGCAACATTATATAACTTTCCTTATACTACTTATATTACTCCGCATAGACGTTGGTATACGAGAAAATAAAATTGGGATGCATTGCTCTCGGAATGACCCTCGTAGACGAGCCACAATTTATGAGTGACCAGTCGGGAGGATGGTAAAAATCGGACAGAAATCGCGATACACTTTTTGAGCTACACCACCCTGATTGGGGCTGTGTTTTAGTCGTATTCAACAATTAGCGACCACAATTGCATTTAACGGTATGGTTATTGTGAAGATTACATTATATAGTGATGATGGAGGGGTGAAAGAACGAACATAAATGCAACCCTGCCTGAGGCGGGACTCGAAACCATGATCCTTCGGCCCTACTGCCGGTACTACGACACTACTGCCGTAACGATCTCGGCCATCGGGTATTGAGGCATTTTGTACTTATAGTTAAACACTGGGTTTTAATTTCAGAAGTGAAATAATCGTGAAAATACTTCTCTGCTTGTACTTTCACAAAACAAAATTTTGAACTATTGTTCGCCAGGGAAAACGTCAAATGAAAAATGGTCTCAAAAGAAAACAGATACACGTATTTTAATCATTAGCTCGCGGCATTGCTTCTAAACATAATGTAACTACACTATTTGTACACGTCTTCTAGAGTTATTGAGAAATGTAGTTATTCAAAGTATCGTTCTCCATGTTGTCGCGGCTGGAAGTATTGTAATTTATTCCTTTACGAAGGACATGATGAAGGGCAAGATCCCAAATATATAGCTAATTTGCCTTTGAAAATAAATTTTATTTCATAGGAGCGAATATTTTCGAATCAATTCTTGCCTAAATCTGTATTCAGAATTCAACTTGTGTATGGCTTAGGGTAGGGATCCCTGCACAGAATATACTTCTCCCCGTAGCATATCACCCACAGATTTTAACTGTTTCTGACGTACAATAAAAAAAAAAAAAAGGCATCCATGGTGCTGCCATCAGAAGTTCTAATACAAACGTGTTCTGGATATCTCTAAAATTGCCTCTTTTGCTATAATGTTACTTTCCGTTCTTCCATTATTCGTTAGTTTATCCAATACTTGTTATCACTAGCAATATACAACAGAAACTTCTTCCTAAACTTAACCTTCAATCGTGTCTTATATTCTAGCTGATGTCCTGCTACCGGTAAGCATAAGCACAATCATGTGTGCAGAAAGAGCGCCACTACTGCTACCTGCTATCTTGCACGCCAACTGAAGAATTCAATGAGTGAATACCAGACAGATACCTGATTATTCCATGGTGGAAACCCGTTGGTGTATGCAACGCTGGCTTGATTACAGAGTAATTCATTGTCACTCAGTAAACAAACGTTACTTCTTACCGAAAACTTGTGTTGGCATTCAATCGTTGAAAGAATGAGCGATGAATCTGTGGAATTTGTTTGTGTCAAAGTAGAACCTACCGAGGTCAGTGTTATTTTACAATGTTTGGTTAAACTGTGTCAATATGAGCAGCAATTAGTTGTAGGAAATGTTTAGATTAGATAGATTGCAATTTAGTTTATGCAAAAACTATGACGTTTTCATTATCATTATTATATCTTGTGGAAACTTCTAGTATGTCTAACAAAATTTTAACTCGCCGAGTTGTAGAGAAGATTCTGTTTCTGTGTAGCGAAAAAAACCTATGCCAGCTATCATACATAGTTTGTAGAATTGAATAATTGATAGATCAAATTTCAGTATTATTCATTGTGATAAGAAAATTGATAAATCTGTTCAATGTTTTAAACCAATGTTGGAATATATTGTTCTTTAAATAATGAATGTCTTTGCACTGTGCTTTTTATAATTGTTTTGAAACCTCCAGTTACAAGGACAATGTTATTGTGACAGATGGTGTTTTCTGAAGATCAGGAGTCAGAGGATGAGTCAAATTTCTCTGAAGATAATCCACCTGATAAAGTTACCCATCAGAAGCATGTAAGTTTCCTATGTGATAAGAAACTTCAAAATCCAAAAATACTCGTAAGATAGGTTAGTATGAATTTTGAATGCAATTCTTCTTTGTGGTATGTTTTTCTGAAATTCAGTGGAATTGTTTAGTAATTTTCTCTTTGTATCATGTGTTCAATTTTTGAGCTCCTGGTATACTCAGATAATCTTGGTCATTTCTCAATTTAGTTATTTTACAAAATTACAATAATTTATGTATACTACTTAATAGAGTACTTAATTTCCATTATCTTAAATGGATTCAGATCATTCACTACATGTTGCTATTTTGTGCTTCTTTCAACAACTATTTAATTTCAGACTAATGAGGTAGAGGAGGACAGTTTCAGGGTGAAGTGAAATTGATTTCAAAGGGCCATTAAAAAAAAAAAAGATCAATAACGTTAGTCACTATCTCATTGTAGTTGCAAAAAAAGAAACAGAAAGAAAAAATACATTTACTAGATGCACAACCAGGGCGTTTCTTGGTATGGGAGGGTAGGATATAGTATCCAGCTGTCGTGAAGTTCTCTTCCTTACTCTCAAATTTTTTCATTTATACTGAATATAAAGTGTTTTTTTATTTGTTGACTTATAATTAATATTTGACAGAAAAAAATATGTGAATAATAGAAAAAAATATGAATCACTTTTGTTAAAGTAGAAAATTAGTAATTATATATTTTATTATGCGGTCTGAGTTCTGCAGGGGGAGGGTGAAAGCATCCCTTCCCTGCGGGTGTGCCACTGCATGTACATGTCAGTTACTATGGATTTCACTACACTTACTCTGCGATTTATGCAATTTCACCCCTGACAGGTATCAGCTGTTGATGGTTTCATCCTATCAAGAGCTTGAACATCACTATGGTGACATTCAAGCTCCCAATTGGATGAAACAAACAGCTGATACCTGCCAGTCACAAAGTTGTTAAAATCACAGTATAATTGGTGGTTTTTGTGTTCACGAATATACCATAAGTTTCTTACTTACCAGAAATCTACTTGATCAAGAGGAAATACAGGTTGTTTTTTTTTTTTACTTTCATGTTTAAATTCTGTATAGTTGCTCAAATTTTGACCAAACTCGCTTCTATCCAATCCAAGATATTTTTTTTAAAGTCCTGGTCAATAAATCGATTAACTTCTTCAAAATTTTGAATTTTGCACTTGTCAAATTTCTAATCAAAACATATCAGTATAAAAATCTCAAGGCGGTTTTTTTTCAAAACTTTTTTCTACCTACAGCCCCTCTTGATTAATGTGTATTAAAGATTCATCAGGTGGCAACTCTACAAGTGTTAAAGGAAAAAAGGTCAATGTTTTCCACACACTTTGACATTCCAATGTAAATGTCAAGAGGGAGCAAAACCATCCCCCAAACTTCGTTTCTATTGCTACTCATTAAAAGACCACATTCAATCCATACCAACCTATATAATGCTTTTCTGTATCCCTGAAAAATACAAACACTCAAGGATTTTTTTTTTAACTGATGGTTTCCTGAAACATGCTACATTATTATTACTGAGTTCTAAGACATAATAGAATGAAGTTGACATAAATTTTATAGGAAGAATCTTAGAATAGCATATTTTGTGGGTCACAAGGAGAAAATTTGTGAAAAAATTAAACTTAGGTGGTCTTTCTTAATCAGTGCAAATAGATGACTTTGTGTAATTAGTAGGCTGCAGATTTTGCAAAATTTTTTCCCTTAAACATAATGATATGCATAGCGAACACCAATTCATTTCTTGTTGTTTGCGATCAATATAAACATTCTAACAGTGTATATTTCTGCATATTTATGATGGTCGTGCATTTTAAGAACATATATTTGCATATTTTACATCTTTGTGTTTTTTAAATATTTTTTATTTTTGTGTTCTTTTGTGAAATGCGAACGTTGAAATGGCTTTTGAGTTTTCATCATTTCTGAATGAATAGAGTAGTACAGTTCATCCTAAAAGGGTATATCCAGACGTGACTATAGGAAAGAAGCTGCCCTGCCCCGTGGCCTGCCCCATCCTCTGACCTTTCCTTCTTGTATTGAACTTTTTGGTTGTCAGTTTTACAACCTCATATGAAGGGGCCATGACAGCAAGAGTGCCGGCAACGAAAGAAGCTGGGGTTGGAAAGAGAAATTTAGTTCTCTTAGGCTCTGAAATTAGGATATCCTCTATTGCCAGTCTGCTTTTACACTTGTCTGTTGTCTGTGGTCTGTTTTGGAGGGGTTGGTTCAGTTTCTTTTCTGTCGGTAACTTTTGTAGTGTGTTACTGAAATGGAAGGTATCTCTCTGAAAATCTTCAGCATACTACTGCGAAATCAAATTATTTAGACATCACCGATTCTTCAACAAGTCTGCTGAATAGGAACATACTACGCAAGTTAGTGCTGCTGCAATAAGCTCCCAGACAATTTAAAGAATATTAACACTATTAAAAATAATAATAAACAAACTAAGGATTTTTTCCTAAAGAAGACTTACTAATGTTTTAATAACTTAAAAAGGGTGAAGGGATACTCCCTTAGATATACAAATAAACCCAGAGGGGATGATGATGATAAACAATTTAATGAAGTGTTTATAATAATGATAATAATAAAAGTATGCACTTACTTTATTTTACAGAGATATAATACTACTTACACTCACTTACCCTGGGTACATATATTTATATGCAATGTAATATTTAATACTATGTAATATAATGAAGTTTAAAATGCATATGTAATATGTACAAATTTTATAATGAGAATAATAAATACAATTCAAATGAATGTATATGCTTGAGACTGAATGTATGTGTGTTTGTGTGTGTATATGCAGGTGCAGATCCATAGGGAGAGAAGGGATGGAAATGAGAGAAATTTCACTCCTAAAATTTTTCTGTAATTATTAAATTTGAACTTGGCACAAAACTTTAAATAAAAAATATTTTCAGATAATGATTAAAACAAATACATTTGTATCCCAGCATGAGGTGAGTGTAGCCTACAGCATTTTACAAATCTGTAATGACACATTGCACCAAAGCATTTTTCATTTCCCTTCCCAGAATCTGTCTCTGGATCTGCCCATGATGTATGTAATCCTTAATAAATACTATACCATACAAAATAATGTTGTGTTAATGTTTGTTTATGTAAGAATGTAACACCAAAGCAGTGACTCATTACATTTTTTGACATTATAATATTATTTGTATTTTTGTGTGTAATTGCCGTAATGAAAAATATAATATAGGCCTATTTGCTGTAAGTACTGATGCAAATAAATAGTGAATATATTTCATTTCATATAAAAGTGTGAGAGCATGAATATGTTATTAAGTAGTTGTATGATAAAAATAATATACCTAATATCTATGTAATAATTATTGTAAAGTAATGTAATTTGACTTTGCCTTACATTGATTGGAACAACTCTCATTGATAAAATTAAAATTACATACGTAACATAAGGAATTGTCATGTTACTCATATATGCCAGTGTATCTCAAGCGTACCTCTGATCTGTCATTTAACATTTACCTTCGTTTCAAGTCATTCTTTTAGTCTTGTTTCAGACTTTATCTTTTCATTATACTCTAGTTTTTAGTGTTAAAATATATTTCTTAATTCCTCTGTATATTGCCGTAATTGGATCAATTCCAGTTAGTAACAACTGTCAATTAGAACTCGTCTGGTGGAGTGTGAACAAAACTATAGAATGAAGGGAAAGGGGCGCAAGTATCGCCCAGTGCTGCTTTGCGTAACAATTGCCAAATTCACGCGATTAAAAATTTCGCATTAGTGTCAAATATTAAATATGCGGGAATAAATTATTTACAGTAGTAAAAATTGCATATTGAAAAAATTGTGGCTATGCAGATCGCAAAAACGTGGACAATCCTGCGCCGGGCGTCTGTTTCGTGAAGCCCATGGGGCTTGTAAACGTTGGCAGCAGTGTGCCTTAGTTCGTGCATGAAGGAGAAAGGATAGAGTGCGCTACTGGAGGCGCCGCCACTAATTTATATGGAAGTTGAAACGACTTGTCAATAGTAATGGAAGACATTGAAGTTTTAGCGGAAAGTATAATAAAAGTAGAACCGGTAATTATTTTCTGTGAATTCATTTACCATGAAGACGTGTGAGGAACGCTCTTTTGGGCGCAAGCCATTACTAGTTTTTAAAATAGTTTTCTGAAGGTTGCTTTTTTTTCATAGAAAATTTATCAATAAGAGTTGTTGATTTTCGAATGTAAAATTGAATCCTAAGTTTAAAAAAGAGGTATTTAAATTCATGTAACTAAACTTAAGCAGAATTAAAATCGTTTGTGGATTGTCTCATCAAGATTCTCTTTCTGCTGTGTCCAGGCCATAAAAATAAGTGACAATGTAGAGCATTTGTTGAATTTTATTGAGTGTTATTATTTTGAATTTAAGACTTGATATATGCAGATGACAATTTCATGGCTAGGTAAAAAATAACGTGAAGGCTCAGATTTTTAGTCTTTTTGGAAGTGATTGCTAAATTGGGGTATGTCATGAAAGGGGTAGTGGCTAATGTGTAAATTTTGCATTGAGGGTGCTGTCAGGAATCAAATAAAAGGTCAGGAATCGTGAAATCTTGAATCATGTAATGTGCAATCTTATTTTACTCGCAAATTTTCAATATTAAGGTGCTTAAAACAAATACTTCACTACCTGGTCAAAACTTCAATTTTTTTATTGTTGTATTTTATATTTAAGTGAGATTGTTATTGGCTGCTTGATGCTGATTAACAATGATTTTTTTGTTATTGAAATTTTTTCTCTTCTTCTTTCATTAATGTATGGTAGAAAACTATCAAGGCTACAAAAAATCTTAATATTTGTCACACTTCTAAAGTAACTGGATTGAATATTTCTCATTTTCATTGGGAACTTCTTTTATTTCATTCCTTTAATTTTGTATCCTTTGTAGTAAATTAAATAATATAATATAAATAAGTTCTGCAGATGAAAATACATTATATCTTTGCTCAACATTTATGAAGTTTGCTTCTATTTTGTGCGAAAAACAAATATTTTAAATCTCTCCAAATCTTATAATATTAAATTTAAATTAGTGTAGTAATAACTCCGTATTTTTATTATTTGTCATTGTTTTTACATATAAGCTGGGAATCAGTAGTTTGCAAGCATAGTTGTCATGGTTCCATATTGTTGCACAAGCTTTGCAAGAATGTGTACCTCAGTATATTATATTTTTATCAAAACAACCTGCCAGTATTTTAAAGGGGGAGGTAAGAAGTGTGGGAGATTGGAGGTGTAGCCTGTACAACATAGCTATTAGTAACCCTTTCTGGTTGTTTTGCCAATTTTATTGAATGTGAAGTATGTGCTGTGCTGTAATTTCACTGTCACCTTACAATACTGAGAAGTGTCGAGTATGTATTGAGAGTGAAAAAGGAAAATAGGGGTGAGGTGTTTTTAATAATCATATCACTTGTCAGAAAGACTTGAACAGACATAGGTTCTGTCTTCTTGATTTCTACAAGCAAGTTGAAAGCTGTTCTTTAGCTAGAGCTTTTGCTGTCAACCAGAGACAGCCTGCGGAGCACACTTATGCAGTAAAGTGCAGAACTGAGCTGTCTATTACCACCTGAGGAATGGAAATGAGATGACTAGAGGACCCAGCAGCTCCTGACATATCACAAGAAATTATTTTCAACAATAGCACTGGTACTCTTATAAAATGCAGGTGTCATAACACTCTTATATGATGCACTAAAATCTTTGGCAATTGTGTGGGAACTTACTTGAATAGCTCACCTGCCAAAAGATGATTAGCTTGACAAGTGTGACAATGAACAGCAATTTTTTTGGTGATTAAAATAAATGTTCATAATTACTTGATTTTCTTAAATGTAACGATGAATCTTCAATAATTGTGTTTTTGAAGTATATGTAGGTCACACTATAACTTTAAAAGATTAATTCTGAAACAAGAATTAACTTGAGATGAGATTAATTTTGCTTTAATTTTGTATATAGCCTAATTTTTAGTGGGATTGGAAGTGAAAGATATGTAACAAAAATGACTGTTAAAAAAGCTCCTCTCCCTGCTTCAGGATATTTAATATGATATACCAACAATTGAGCATGTCAGATTTCAAATTTCCATGATTTATTTCATTCTGTTGATTTATTAATGGCTCCAATTGTGAGAGCAAAACTGAAATCCTTATTTTGATAAAATTTGTAACTGTATATAACTGTAACCATTTACAGTACCATTCATGTTTTCGTAATTTCTGGAACTATAAACAGTGACAAGCTCACAAGTCTTGAAGTGACTCCTGGAGTAAAGACATCTCTTGTGTTTGTGGAAGATTTTCAAGTACCTTTAAAACAAGATATTTGTTATACCACAGACAAAGTATTTTATTTTTTTAAACCTTGAAAAGTATGTCCAGGAATCCCTGTAGAATGCGATAAAATCTTATCTACACACACTAGCAATAATCTAAGCTGCAGATATTAGTTTTATTTAGTAGCAAAAAGTAATTGACGAAGAAAGAATAACGCTTATTTTAAGTGATCACTGTTGGTTCCTTGAAAAAGCGGCCTTTTAGAAGAGTGGTTGTTTAATAGGAGAAATTTTTATTATTATAATACAAGAAAACATCCTATTATTTCTAGATATCAAATTTTCATGAATGTGCCTATTACATTGGAAGTTTTGGAAATGTTTTTAATATAAGACAAATTATGAAAATGAAACATTTTGACCTAGTTTTATTTTGCTTTCTTCACATAAATGCCTTTTTAAAAATTTTTAGTATCATATAAAAAATGTATTTAAAAATACGAATATTTCTTTTTCTTATGTAAAACTAACCATTTAAATCAGTTTCAGTACTCCTAATAGTTGTCTACAAAGTAACAAACCTCCATTTTTTTGTGTAGATGCAATTTTTTTGTTTGAGAATGCATGGCACAGTCTTAAGAGCTGAAAATCTTGCACTTTTTGGCACAAATGAAAATTAAATTAAAAAAATTCCACCAAGCAATGAGTCTTTGATGTCCACTGCACTCAAATTCCGGACACAAGCCAAACAGTCACGTGTATTGAAGCCAGTTGATAACCTAACTTACAATATTGATATTCCACTGCACTAGATGTTCTTTCAGAAAGGTAATGTAAGGATGGCTCTGTTAATTCAGAGAATTCCTCAGATTTCCTTGAGAATGAAGCTGAGCCCATAAGAAGCACATACATGTAAATGCTTTATACTTTGTTGTTAATTCAAAGAATTAAACATTGTCACTTTCATATTTGTCATCTCGTTAGAAGAAATGAATCTGAAATGGAGCAAGCAGCAGTGATACATATAAGTAGCTACAATATTGTTTCTTCATTCAAGAAATCTCCCTTTCTCTGATTTCCTTGGGAATGAAGCTAAGGCACATACATGTAAATGCTTTATACAGTATCGTCAATTTTCATTCTAACTAAATATATGATGCACTGTGCTTATAGTTTATCTGAAAGTGGTAAATTACGAGAATTGCTATTAAGAGGATGGTTGTGTTGTCTTTTAACAAGGATATAATTTGAAGACAATAAAAGGTTTTCAGTGTCCACTCCAAGAAAAGTGTAGGTGAGAAGGGTGGTCTTTCCGAGGTTTCTTAACATTTAATTATATATAATAATGTATTTCAATAAAAATATATTAAAATTGTTTGTAGCCTTTTCTGGATTGAAAACTAAATATGTTCTTGTCAGAAACCAAAACTGATTCATAAATATTTTATGAAACAAACTGTAATGTCATGGTTTCTCGTCAACAAAATTGTATATTATGTACCTCCAATGTTTTTGTTTGTATTGATAGAGATATGTCTAAGCATGATTTTTCAAAAAGTTTGTGATGTAAAAAGTATTTATTTCTGTAAATTTTACAATATTTGAAAATGTGTTTTAATATTTCTGTACTTTAATACTCTGAAAATCAGAAACCATTACAGTATTTTTGAAAAACGTAGACAAATTGAAAAATTGACCAAGTGTGATACAGTTAATTGCATTGTTAAATCTAATGTGATCTTATCCCAGATTTATTACAGGATAAAGTAGTGAAGCCACAGTTTTGTATCAGTGTTTTCAAATTGCAATTATTACTTTAAATACTTTTTTAAAGAAACCATTATTTGGTTTTTGAAAGAAAAAAAGAAAGTGATTTTCAACCATCTTTTGTTGCCCTGTCAAAATCATAGAAGTAAGATAATATGCTATTTTGAATTTGTGAATATTTTCTCTAAATACTAAAATTGTGTTAGAGGTAATGATGTCTGCTTGTGATGGATGTGATTCATTTTTTAAACATTTCTCTCTCTTGTGTATAGGTTAAACAAGAACCTGATGATCATGCAGAAGAGGAAGATAGTTATTTCACAGTGAGTTCATTGTCCACTTTTCATTTAGTAACTTAGTAAATATAAAATTATATTGTAGTCATAAGTGAAGTAAAGAATGATATTATTCAAGCAACAGATGGCTCAGTTTTGACTACCAAGGTTTATGCTTTCAAAAAATTCTTCCCAGAAAGAAGTTGAGTTGATTTGTAATTGATCTGACCTTTTTCAATCTAACTTTTACAATGAGTAAGGAAAGGTTAGAGTTTTCCAGTGTGGTGTTCCTCAATAATGTATTTTCATATTTCCAATGGTTCACAAAATTAATCACTTCCAGTGGCAAAAATGTTTTCATAATTGAAATTGTTTTAAGAATCAATCTTCCCCAACTGGGAATTGAACCTGGTTTACACCTAGTTGCTGAGCTACTGAGAAAACCAATTATTTCTGAATAATTTCATAGATACACATATTGCTCATAGACTGGTGACAATTGAATAACATTTTCATATTTTACTGTTAGAAGAGCTCTAGATCAGTTAGTGTGACATAGTGAAATTGAAAGACGTTTCTGAGAATACAAGGGGAAAATTCCTTGCTCAATATAGAAGGAATATTCATTAGAGGACTCAAGCACCCAGGATGATCATAAATCAGCTGGCAATGATTTTAATCATTGTAATCTAAACAAATGTCAAGTTTAAGAATTATGAAGTTGAAAAACATTGTTTGTATTGTATTTAAGAGGTAAGAAGCATCAATATGCACAAGGTCTTGATAACAGCTTTTCATCTTGAGAGCTTGTCAAAAATGATTTCTCAAGGTACACCTAAGGAGCATTTTATCTAAGGCTAGTTGACCCAAACATTTTTTTTTTTTTTAAATTCAAATTATAAAAGGTGTATTTACTTCTAATTCAAATTAACTGCATTAAGTTGTTTCTTTTCCCTAGAGAAATTAATTCTGTTTGTGTTGGGGAAAGACTTTTGTTTGAAATTGTTTTCTCTGTTCACCCCTTCATTTTCATGGAGGAACAATTCAGGAAAGCTCCAGTGTTCACAGAGTAGTTATTTTTTACCATCATTTATTGGTGTTCAGTAATCAATCAGAACAGAATCTGCTGTCGTGATATTAAGAAGGGACATAAGAATGCATCCATTCCTAAAAGTTTTTAGAAAGTTTGATAAATACACAAAATAAGTTTTTTTTAAAGTTATTTCCTTGCCTCAAGTCAAGAATTTTGATACAATTTAGTTAAAGAAATGTCATGTTTTGCAGAGATTCACTTATCCTAAAACAGATTGGTTGAAAACATTTTTTTGATCAGATTGTATGGTTCTGTGGGTTAATAGAAGCAGCTTTGATTCTGAATTTGTAGATTCCTGATGTATCGTCTGAATGCTGCTGTAATTGCCCTGGAACCACTCACTTACTATTAGTGTCTGTGAGCATTTACATATTGAATTTTGTACATCAATCAGTCATTGTTAGCAGGATTTTATTTATTAAGTATACTATTGGACAACAGTGCTCTTATTTACCCAACAAGACAAAAGAGATTCACTTAGAACTAATATTGCTTATGTTTATTCTTAAAATTTAAATAGTCTTTTTAGTAGGTGTTTGTAGTTCTATTAATGTTGAATTTATTTGTATTAGAAGTGCTTAATCTGTGAGAACTTTGGATACATTTCTCAATTTTGTTAATGCTATTTGCACATTTCAACCATTATAAATTAGTAAATACTATTGTCAATGACAGGAAGGTGATGAACCCTACTCCTTGAAGAGAGAAGTGAAGAAGGAACGCAATGAAGAGGTGAGCTATGTTGGAGATTTTCCTCATTTTATTTTCTTTGAAACTTAATAGAATTCAGTTTCTTCTTCAATGAAAGGTATCTTCTTCAAATACAGGAATTAGATGTAGTGACCAGTTCCATTCTCATACAAGTTATCACTCCATGTTTTCGATCTCCCAATGTTTCTAATACTGATCAGAACATAGTTCAAAATTTCTTTAGGCGACCTGTTTACATCCCTTCAGGTAATTTGGATGTACCAATTACATTTTAACCTTTCATTGAATTATATTTGAATTATATTTCATAGAATTTTATTTGAACCTTTCATTCTCGTTTCAACTATTTTTACTATACCTAACTGTCTGCATGTGTCTTCATTTCTTTGATGGTATGCAAGGATGAAACCAGCAGCACTTTTTAGGCACTTCATTTAAGTGTTACAATTTTTCTTTTATGAGTTCTATTTAAAGATTAATTTTTGCAGTGATGTGGTAACAAAGAGGCAGTCAGTGATGTATAGGATATTAGTTGGGTCTTTTGTTAGGGTTCTTTAGATTGTTCAGCACATTTGTTGGAATCTTCCTAATTTGATATCTACATTTTAATTTCTACACAAATCTACACATCTACAATTTAATATGTACACAAATTTATTTTGGAAGCTGAGTCAAATATTTCTCAAATGCTTCAATAATTTCTTCTGAAGTTTTATTCACGTTAAATATGTGCAATTTTGTTTAGTATACTTGTGCACAATGGTTGGTGTAATCTACATGCATACTTTGGGTTATGGTGAAAATGCAAGCTATACTTGCAAAGTTAGTTATGTTCTTTTTAACAATCATTGAAGTTTTGAGTTTTATACTGCATGATACGTTTATATGGCAGTGATATATTAAGTATATAATTGTTTGTTATACTTGCCGCAGATTATGCGCTTACCAAATATTATGAGAATTGCAGTTGCAGGGAGTGTTATTTTTTGGTCTCTTTGCAGGAGGAAGTGTCAAGTGAAGAGGTTGAGCGAGATCGTGAAGTAAGTATAAGAGTTGCCAAGATTTTCTATTAGATACAGTTGTCATCCCTGCTATCTGCCTAAATAATTTCAGTTCTGTGTCTACTTTTACCATCACCCGCTGTGAGTTCCATGCACATTTTTGTTCTGTCAAATTTTTGTGTGTAATCTCGTGTGTTTTATAACTGATATTTTCTTATTTTTCAAAAATGACTATTAAAATACTCTTAAAATGTTTGAAAAATTATCTAAAAGCAAAGAAAAATTATACAAAAAATTTGATCAAAACCAGTTCAGATCAATAACTCAAGCAGTTGAATATATTACTAAAGTAATTGAGACTTCTTCTTAAATGCAAGTGATTTCAGCCATGGTGGAAACCCAATATGATCTCAGCTTGCTCAGCTTTTAGTTTTTTCTGTTCTTTACCAGAAAATGTCTTTAGTTATCACTAAATCAGCTGAACCGCCAAGATAGGTGTCATAGAAACCTTAAATTACATACTCACAATGGCTGACATTACAATTTCTAAGAGAAGAAATTGAATAGTCAACTCAGGAATTCTGTGAAGAACAATAGTGGCATTTCAAAAATTTTATTTGAAGAAACTACCATTAAAATTGACCAAATCAGCAAAAAATGCTTTTAAAATGTCTGAAAAAGGTAAAAAAAGACTTAAGTCGAAATCAAAGAAAATGTCAAAAAAAGACATATAAAAATGGGGTTTCATTATGTCATAATAATTCATATCCACTCCCTAGTTTTGATATAATTATTTGTCTTAAAATTATTTTATTGCTTTACTAAACTCATGGGGTTCCATGTTTTGAAGTGTGATCCCTTCTCAGAGGAGCAATGGATTCGAACATGGATTTCAGTAATAAAGATGGTGTGGAAGAAATCAAAAATATGTAAAACATATCCATCTCTCTTCCCGTCTCCATCTCTCTTCCCGTCTCCATCTCTCTTCCCGTCTCCATCTCTCTTCCCGTCTCCATCTCCCTTCCCGTCTCCATCTCTCGTCCCGCCTCCATCTCCCTCCCCGTCTCCCCCTCTCTCCATCTCCCCCTTTCCATCTCTCTTCTAGAACATTTTTCAATGAAATTAAAAAAAAGAAAAGTTATAATTGCTCTAATCACACAGTGCATTTTGTTGGATTTGTTCTTTCAGAACTCTTTGTTTGTTAATTGAATAGTAATTTATTTTAGACAGACATTTTTGGATACTTCTCTATTATTAGGTGCATGATTAACGAGATCTGTGAATGTTTGCAGGAAGAAAATGAACTCATTCCAGTGCAGTGTTTGTTGAAGACAGATGCAGAAGAAGTGAGTACATTTATTGCAATGGTGCACGTTCAAATATTTATTAACACTTTGGTACATATTTTACCTTACTGAATCAAAAATTAAAAAAAAAACAAAAAAAACAAACAAACAAACAAACAACCTCTATAATAAAGGGGTGTATGCCAGTGATATAATTGACATAAATTTGGGTATGGAAATGGAGGGTGAATTAAAATGATTATATTTGCCATAATTTTCATCCCATATGAATGAATTTGTGATGCTACTAGATATATATGCTCTCTTAATGATGGCTTTGGTGAAAATTGAATTAAAATTATTATGAATGTTGAGTTTAGAGAATGCAAGAATATATCATTTCGAAAAGAGTGGTTAGACTATTAGTATGCACCTCAATCACTGTTCAGATAGAAATATGACTTATGAACAGTTACAATGAGTCGAGGGTCGCTACAAGAACATTATTTACTGAACCCAGATGACTAGGTTTGCGCACCAGCCCTACCAAATATTTTTTTGCAATTGTGAAACCCTTTTTTGAGTTCAACAGGTTTTTATTTATTTATTTATACAATGGACAGGCATTTACTTGATAATGCCTGCACTCAATTGTAGCATATTTGTAGTACTCAATTGCAGTACAATTGAATTGTTTATTTCAGGAATCCGTCAAACATCAAAATTTAAAATGCACATTAGTGATGGATTATTGTTCCCTAAGGATAGACAGAGTGTTTAGTGCATATTTATATAAAAAATGTTTATTTATAAACTGCTTTAATAAATGAATATATTTTGGATTCAGAAAAATAGGAAGACTTTCTCAGTTTTTTCAAATTGAGGAATTTGGCGTTTGACGGGTTGCTGAAATAAACGATTCAATTGTTGTAATGTTTTTCTTCAATTTTGTTTATAAGATTTCTATAAGAAATTGAAAACCATTGTTATTGAGTATAAAAACCGTTTTCATTTAAACTTTTGAAATTGCTTATAGCGTTGTATTGTTTGCTTTAAGAAGAACAACACAAATTGTGTTAAAATTAGCAGTTTTGCGGAACTTATTACAATATTAAATTAATATGTAATTTTTTTGAAAATTTAATCTAAATTATCTGGCAGACAATTTTATCAGCTGGCAATGTAAATAATTTCTTCAGCATTAGCTGTCTAGGAATGTAGCAGACAGAATAGTTCAAGAGAGCTTGTAGAAATGAAATCAGAGTGGGTATTGTTATAGTGACATCATGGAAGTCACTCGTAACTGTCAAGGTGACTATTTAAAAATTGAGTGGAATAATACTTTTAAAATAAAAGTTTGTTAACAATCTATATATGTGTGTGTATATATACATATATATTTCATATAATTCAAAGATTTCAGCTGGAAATGGTGTTTACTATTTTAGGACTATTTTATGGCTTTGTTTAAATGTCTGCACCTGTCAAAATGAATGCCAAGTTTGTTGACATCAAAGGGCTGCGGTTTGGTTTACTCTATTTGGAAAGTGTTTTTTCAAAGGTTGCATGTACGTTATTTTATTGTCGTGATGTATGCGTTTGTTTTCATTGTGTTGAGTAGTTAATCTTATTTCGATGCCGTTCTTATATGTCAGGTCATCCAAATTGCAAGGCCTCAGGGGCTGCAACTTAAATCTTTAATACGGTTCTAGGACATATTTTTATTATTAGAGTGAACCACACCTGACATCCCCGTATTGGTGTTCTTGGCAGTTTGCCCAGCAGCTCTGAAAGGGGGATGGGGGTAGATTCGTGCAAAATATCTGGACTTGCCTAGTAAAATACATTGCGATGCTTGCGAATTTCTGAATTTACAATATATCTAAACTTAACTTATTTTTAGATTTTTTAGTGCAGGGCACCTGTGCTAGGGGCACAATGCTCTCACCCAACATGAATGCAAGTGACTTTACATTTGACTAATAACCTTTCACGCATCTCAGTAAATGTCACCACGAACCGCCAGTTAGGCAACCTTATTATAAGGTATCTTAATTTTGTGTGAAAAATGTCTAGATGCAACTGATTATTCTCAAAAAGGGAAATTCAGAGGAAATGAACCCACAAGGAAATCTGAAGAACGTAATGATTTATTGAATAAAATTTTAGAGAATAATTAAATAGAATTTTAGAGAATTAGATTGGGAGTCAGTATCAGAGCTGGAAGATACACCTCAAAGAGCTTCTAAAAGAAAACTGAATTGGAGATTATAAAGCAGAAAAAGTATTAATGATAAATTAGGGTATATTTTTAATAGTTTTCAACATTTTAGAATATTTTATATGTAATTAGTTGGATATGACTAGCCTTTAAAGTTCTGTGGCTAAGAGCAGAATCGTTTTGAAAAATGCAACCTGAAGCTTCACCAAAATTATCTCTAATTGTTGTCATCTTTCTTACAAGAATACTTTTAGACATCTCCCAGTATTCAAGCCTTTTATGAAGTCGACATAGCCAACCCCATGACCAGAAATGCATCTCCAGTTTGTTTTACCTTGTGGATGCTTCATGGTTTGCGTAAATTCTTCAACCCTTCAGCATTGAACAAACTGTTTTCAATCGGATGCAGATTAAATTAGGACATATTTGAAGGTATCTTCACATCTCTTAGGACCATGTCACATGGGTGTTTGCTCACTGTAGTCTCTATTATTGCATTGATTTCATCAGTAAAGGCTTCTTTCTAAGATGATGAGCAGGAAGCCCTTCTTCAATGAGTCTACTCAGAACAGTTCTACTAGTCACAGAAACGTTGCACTTTTCTTACCATTCTCATTTCAAATCTGTAGATGAGCGTTGGTGATCGCTAAGACAATTTGCTTTACAATTCTACGCTTCTTAGGGGTAGAAGACCTTCCTTTTTCATTTAATACAGTAAACATTTCCACTTTCACTGCATGTTTTTGGAAGCTTAGAGATGCTGCACTGATGAAAACCAATCATGGAGGAATATTTATCTTGTTCTGAGACCAACAGATAAATAAGCCAGTAACACTGCTTTCTTTTTCAGCATTAACTCCAGTCTTTTGCCCATTTTGCCACATGCAGGGTTTCACAAGAAATGGGTCAACTACCAGTTGTTATATACAATCATATCTGACAAATAATTATAAATTCTCAGAGAATTTGTTCCAGGAAGTCAACAGTAGAACTGAAAATACACAAACTGACAATTAAATGGCAACTCAGAGTTTTACTACAGTTTAGTATAACAGTTGCGAAGCTTCGTATGATTTTTTTTCATCTGGTGAGACCTCAGTGCCCCCAGTTGTTATATAGAGGCAGCTAGAGGCAGCATCAGTTGATGAAGGTGCGGCATTTGTATTTGCATCTTGTTTACATGTGGTTTACTTGATGGTATGTGCTAGTGATACAATTTTGATGCAGTGAGTTGAATTGTTTGAATATTATTTATTATTCGCTCTTAGCTCACTTGCCATTGTTAAATTGTCTGATCACATTTTCCTTCTGCATACACTGATGCACGATTAAAAATGCCAACAACATACAGAAATGCCTGTAGTGCCATAAATTGTAGCAACAATCAAATGGATGCTTCTTTAGCTTTCCTAAAGATACAGAAAGCAAAGAACAAAATTGTTCGTGAATATTATTTCGAAGTCCATTTGCAAAAAGCTGATTCCAGTGTTTTCTTGTTAACCTTCTCTATGATTTTGTGTATATTGTTTTGTACTTTTGGCAGTTCGGTCGTTGTGGATGTTAAGAAAGATTGTATGTCAGCAAATGAATATCATGTAAATTTTGATATATGCTATTTTATAATTTTTAATATATCGTATTAGAATTAGAATTACTTTTTTAAATATCACTGTAACTTCTAGGTGTAGGATTCCCATCTCAATGAAGGTTTTCGTTCAGTTTTCCTTGATTTGTAGAGCAGGTACTGAGATGTTTTGTTTCTATACAGTAAATGTAGATTTTATCCTCTCTCTTTGACAGTAATAAAATTGTATTAAATGATGAATATAAATGAATGTTTTATTATGTATACACCACAAATTTTCAGAAGTTATACATGTGCCTACATTCCGTTTTAAAAGTATTCTAAATATTTTACCATTAAAAATTATGAATTACTAGGCAGTCCTGACAAATTATTTTGATGGAAGAAATGAAAGGATACATTAAGATCACATCAGTATCTATTGAAAAGTTTCATAATTGCTTTGATATTGTTGGTTGATTTTGTACACTTGCAGATATCTTGGCATTGTTACTGTACACAAGTACATATTCATTTTGTGCATTAAAAAGAGAAAAGTTAGATATGTGCAAGAGTAGAGGTTAATATATCCAAAACTGTATTTTGTAAATAGTGCTTCATATATTAATTAGTAGTAAAAATTCCATGTGAAGCTGTGTTATGAGTGACTATAGTTGCTACAATACCCTTTTTGAAAATTTAGCATGATTGCTCACATGTTAGAGTGCACTGCTATAATCAGTGTCTTGGAATAGTGTTTCTCACAGACCTCATGTTCTACTTACCCAGGTCAGAGGAGCCCGCAATTGTGTTGCTGCAATACTTAGCAGTTGTACTTTATAAAAAATTTAAAACAATTTATTATGAATAGAAATGTTATCACGTTTTATTTCCTTATTTTATTTATGTGGACTTAACTTGTGAAATTTTTGTTGTGATGTTTAGAATTAGTAATCATCATTTAGGGTGAAGTGTAATATCTTGCCAGCTACAAATATTATTTTAATTGTATAGGAGTTCCATCAAAATATGTGCTTTTATTAATCCATCAACTTATTTGCGAACTAACATATTTTGTGTTGTAGGAGGAGCTAGTGCCACCAGAAACAGTGTATATAAAAACAGAGGACCCTGAGGAAGCCTCTGAGGAGGCCTCTGCTGAAGAAGAGGTGAGTTTGTCAGTGTTAGTAAGGTTTATGAGGATTTTTTATGATTGAAATAGATGGATGGTGTTTGGGACGGCTTAAATATGTAATAAAATTAATATTAGAGCTTACTATTACTTAATTGTTTTTAAAGGGTTAGGAACTAAGTATGGATGTTTATAAACTTAGTTACTTCTAAGTTACGAGCTGAACTACTATTTTAAAGATCCATCTACTTGAGGAGATTTGCAATAAAGGGTATTCGATATATGCAGGAAATAAAAAATGTATCATGTCCTAGAAAACTGGGTAAATTTTGAAGGAAACAATGATAACAGATGTTAATTAAATTAGGGAAAGAGTTGATTAAATTTAAAAAAGAACAACTCTAGTTGTACTGCTCGCAGAAAAAGCAATCGTGGCGAACATACTCTTGGAGAAATCTCAGAGGCTTCCCCCTTCCAGCAGCTGAGATTTCCCCTCTCGGCGATAAGGAAGTGCGAAGGTGACAAAAAGAGGTAGCTGCAAGATGCAGCAATTGCACTGACCGTCCCTTGTCATCACTGCCCTCATCGTCGGAAGAGAAACTTGCACTGACAGAAGTGCCCAAAGAAATGACGAATTCATCAATGTGTTAGTCCATTACATTATCTTATTACAGAAACCGTTCTTCTAGAGATGGCGTGTTTCCTGTTGATCATTTGGACAACCCCAACTGTAGAAACATGTAAGCTGCCTTTTGTCTGACTCTTCTCACTCATCAGCTTGTTATCGCCAAACTCAGAGTGTTGTATCAATACAAGACCCTCAAGAGAAAGCTGTGTTTTCACAAAGAGAGCAGGCAGGCAGAGAAATGTTTGTAGCTTTGGAGGGAGAGGCCACTTTAAGGCATGCACAGTGATAGGTTTTGATTCTGGTAGATCTATAGAATCTTATAGTAATAGTATAAATTAAGAGTCGAGGAAATTCAACAAATATAGGAGATAACTAAAAATGGCATTAAAACATTATTTGATGATCACCTAGGAAATTTGGTCAGCAAAGAGAGTTGGAAAAAGAAATTTAAAGAATTAGAGCAAAATTTAAAACTTGTCAGTAAATATGAAATGTACGAGTAATTAATAACTCCTTAAAATAAATTTATTATTTGAAGGAGTTATTAAGTAGATGATTAGGTATTTTTCTTTGCTGTTGAAAATTATTTTGCTGTGAATAATGTACCAGTCTGTTAAGGTCTAGTTATTATAAAACATGCTATGTGGAATGTCTACATTTTGGCATCAAATGTTGATGCTGGTTGTGAGTTCAAGTAAAGAATGGAAAAATAGGCTTTTAAATTTTTATTGGAATTAGGGCCAAAAATTTAGTCTGAAAATGAAATTATCTGAAAGATATCAAAAGAATAGAAATGAAACTATGAAAAAGTTTGCTGTTAAGAAAGTCGCAGCTTTAAAATTGTGTGGAATTTTAATGACTGAACCTAAAATTATTAGAATTATTACAATGAAAGTACCTTTTTTGAAACAACATAAATAGTGCATCAGTCAAAAGAATAGATGAATTATTGAATGTTATAGGAAAATTTGATTAGTGTCTCCTTAATAATAGTAACGATAAAATTAATGTGAACGCCTTGCATTGTAATAGATGCCATAAAGGTTCTCCAAGGGATAATGCAAGTGATGTGAAAAAAAATGGCAAAAACCAATGGAAATAGGTAAAACATACAGGGCCAGGGGAATTTTATTGATTTTAATACCCCAACTAATCTTGAACACTGAGAAACTAAAGATGTGGAAGAAACCTTATTTTACATGAAGATTTTCGTAATTATTTAATGGAATATGAGAAAATTGTTGTTATGAAAAGGATTAGTATTGATGAATGGGATTTATTACGATTAAGGATGACAAATTATTTATAATGTGACATGTTTTTTCGAAATGCGAGAAATTAGTGATATGAAGATTTCATCCCTGATTGGAAGTTCGACAACAGCTATCAAGGAACAGTTATATTTAGAACTTACAGGGGGGAAACTGAAAAATAAAATGAGTTATCTATTAAGAAAACGTGTGTAACTATGGCTAAAATAGTAAATGTTCTTTACCAATAACAAGGCAGATTTGGGTAGAAGTGGATATTCAGGGAATGAGATTGAAATTGCCAAGTCTTGTTATGAAAATTTTATTAAACAAACAGTGCTAGGGATGGATTTTATGGATGTATGATACTGCAGTTGATTTGAAGAAAAGAGAAAATAATGTTGAGAGATTCTTCACCTTTTCAACTTCAAATCGAGAAGAAACTCAATCAAATTGTTACCAAACAATACCATGTTGAGAATTCGCATATTAATTTTGAGATCAGTCACTTTCAATTTGAGACTAAAGAATTTCAAACTGATGAAAAACAATGATGAATCAATTATTGTTTTAGTATTGATTGTATAACCAGTTGTGTTTTACGAGTGATCAACACATGAGATGCCGTACATAAAGAAATTGAAAGCTAAAAGTGTAAAATAGCAAATTTGTGCTGTGTATAATAATAGCAGTGATTGAAAAGGGCTGTTGGTGTAAAATAATTGACCACATATCGTTGGGTGAAAAATCAAGATAAACTTCCAAAACCACGAGGTGGTAAGAGAAATATGAAAATTATGGAGGAACATCGGACCTTCATGATTTTTCATTCATTCTTTAGGGCATTACGCCCTGAGGAAGGTCGCAGAATGGCGACCGAAATGTTGGTACCTTTGCCATTGACGCGGTGTCACCCAGACAGCCTAGTAAATACAATCAAATTATAGTTTCAAATCATGTTGGCGGAAACAATTTATGGTTTGATGTGCACACTGAAAGACATTCGTAGAGAACCTGAAAAAATGAATAGTTGGGACCAAAACAAAGTGTCGTGAGCAACTTTTAAATTATCATGTGGATAACATCCCAATTTTATACATGGACGAAACAAATTTTAATTTATTTATTTCAAGGCAGAAAGGACGATTGAAAGAAGGTACTCGATGCAGCTACATAACAGCAAGGAGCCATGGAGCCAATGTGCATGTCATAGATTGCATAAGTGCTATGGAACTTGATTCACCATCAAATTAGAAGAGGTGCTTTTAGAAATGAGGAAGCTAAAGAATTTGTGCACCAATGTCTGCATGCTGCATTAACCATGTACCACTCATATGCTGTGTTAGTAATTGATAATGCTCCCTGTCTGTGGTGTGGAAGAATTATTCCTAGAAGAAGAATTCAGCAACCATAACTTACTAAGGCTCAGTCCTTACCGCCCTCCAATCCGATTGAAAATGCCTGGTTTAGCCTAAAGGCTGCTGTTCAATGAGATCTGTGTGAAACAATGCCACACATTTTAGTTGGTGAAGTCAGGACAAATATATCGAAAACTTGAGTTTCGTCTTCTCCACTTACAAAATAGTATAAATCAAAATATTGATGTAATAAATGCTAATAATTGTGCAAGAAATGTTGCTCATGTCCAAAGATTCATTCCTGATGCCTTAAATTTAGATGTGGTTATGTAAATTATAATTGTGTTAAAAAAATTGATTTTGAGTAATGTGTTTGTGTCCTAAATTAAGCTGATTTTGTAATGTAAATGATTATTGAAATGTTAATTAAGTTGGTTCTGAGGAATGTGTCCACAATTTCTTCATTTTATTGTATTTATTTACGTTATTTGGACTCAAATTTGCAATTTATAATGTATCTTCACATAGATTTCAATTTGAAATTGCATAGTCTCAATTTGAAGATGATAGGTTTCAAGCCTTACACCTCATTTGTGCAACCAATGATGAATTTATTAAGGAAGGGTGTAAAATGGGAATGAGCTGAATCTTGCCAGGAAGCATTTGAGGCAATAAAATGACAAGTAGAACATGTGTATGTAATTGATTTTCCTGATTTATTAAAACTATGTATTTACAAATAGAGTATAGTGTTTTTCGGTTAGGAGTATGTTATTTCAATTTAATTCCATTAAAGATAATGGAAAAGTAGCTACTGTGGTGTTGGAAAGTAGGGTGTTAAAGTTGAGAGAACAGAATGGTACGCTTTAGCAGTTGTGTGGGCTTTGGAAAAACTTAAGAGTATGGCTCATATGTTGCATTATGTGATAACGACATACAGTGAAAATCTTTTTTTCATGTTTCTCACTTATACGTTTATGTTTTTTTTTTATAAGTCCTGGATAAATTCCTATAATTCCCATACTAAATTATTTCAGTTATTGCTCAGTTATTTCACGTTTCTATGTTTCAAATGATCCCAGTAAAGCAATGGGTGACCTATGCCAAGAGCCTAGAACTTACCGAGTGAGAATGTACGGGGCACTGTGCTTTCTGTTGCCCACGTAGAACATCGAGCATATACCTGCGGAATGTAAAGTAACATCAAGCATGACCCCGAATCAACCAGGGTCGCCACTGTCAGTTGTAGCCCACGCAGGACACTACCTTTGTTACCACAGTGAAACTTAGTCGCGCAAGGTCATCAGTAAAGTCCCCATTGCGTGTCCGCTACCTCCACCTCAGTGAAGACTTCTTCGATGACTTTCTGCCGCGATAATTTTTCCAAGTTGACCAGCATTGTAATTTGAGGCTTTCTGTTTAAATCAAAGCATAGTTTATCTTGTATCTGGTTTTGCGTCAGCAAAATTAAATAAAAAAGAGTAGTAGGAAAAGGTAACCACTTTCAATATCAGAAAAAATAAAAATTTTACAAGTTGTTAGGAGTGTTAATAAAATATTAGATATTGGTAAATAACTGGGAAAAATTGGTTTAAAAAAAACAAAAACAAAAAAAAACAAAAAAACAAAGATTGAGTTTTTATTTTGCTCATAATAATCAATTTCAGTTATGGGTTTTTCTTATTTATTCTTTTTTTCCCTTCAGTCCCATGAAAAATATATAAACAAAGGTTTACTGTACCGTAAAGCATTAGTATTTTAGTGAGGAGTCATTGTACTAAAGATAGGTTACTGTGATGGAGACAGACATGTACAGACGAGAAGTAGACCTTCTGAAATAGATTTATAAATGATGTTAGATGATAGAGTTATAAATGGTGGTGTCAACCAGTGTAGTATGAAGTAATTTTATATTGACTGCACATTTAATTGAAGAAAGGAATTTAGGAAGAATTAAGGAAAAGTGTGTAGACTGAAATATTTAAGAAAGTTGATAGTGGTTTTTACTGAAGTTGGATGTGAAAAGAAAGGTCTTTTGGTTTTTTAACAGAAAAGGAAAAGACAAAAAAGATAAACTTAAGAATAGTCTGAAATTTTGATTTTATTAGTCTATGTTGTATTTTTATTTATTTATGTATTATTATTATACGGACAAGTTAGTCTATTATATTCTTTTAGTTGCAATTTTGTGAAGTAAAGTTTTCTTAAATTTTCGAAAATAAATATTTTTGTTTTTTTAATTTGTTGGAAACGTTTGAATTTATTAGTTAAGTATGCTGCCATATTCAAATCAATTGTGTATGCATTAGAATCATAAGCCCCTAATAAACAATTAAAAGGATATTTCTATTTTACTTCCCTTGATTCATTTACAAAAAAATAAAACCATCACACAAGTTGTACCAAAATTGTTTAATAGAGTAACAATTTTATAATTTGAATCACAAATATAGTTCACAGATTGTACAAGAACATATACACGTGGGTATATTTATTATTGTATTATTGTATAGTTAATCACAAAGTTATGACTATCCATGCTATTTCTGATGGCGTTCAGAGTTTCCTTTTGAATGCCATGCAATCCATGTTTACAACTTGGTTTACAGTAAGTGAGAATGATGTCTTGTCTTGGTTTTTTTCTTTTATCAATTTCATCATGTCGTACGACCTCTAAAAAACTGACATAACTCCAAAAAGAAAGACATATTTAATTACATCATCAGCTTCATTTCTAATGCTTTATAATATTAAAAAATACTGTAATTGTAATGCAGAAAAGTTACTGGATGGAGTGTGTAACAGTTCCTGTTAACTTAGCTACCAATATGTGCAAGAAAATCAAAACTGCTTTTTCTCTGTTATGGCAGTTTTCTAAAGGATGTCCTCTAAATCTTGGTTCTGTGAATCATTAAAAAAAGTTGTGAATTTCAAAAATGTTAAATTATCCAGTCATAATTTTAAAAGGTTCAATAATATCACCTGTGCTTCTTCTATTCTAATTTCATGCCTCGCAAGCATACTAGCAAGTCTATGCCTAAGTATGCTGTTTAGGCCATTTATACCGCAGAGGGGTGCAATGTAGAGAAAGCCTTCTTGATCAGGGTCAGTATTTTATTGTCTCTTTTGGTAATGGCAGTAACTTGATTAAACCATTTCAAATTTGCATAACTATGTAGTAAACAAAGTAGAAACTAAAAAGAGTAAAATTTTCGAAAATTGCTTGTTGACATGAATGACCTTACTTTGAGATTACCAGTTTCTTCCTCACCTCCTTCCAATCGTCTTTCTCCTGTCTCCTTCTTCAGCTGACCATTATTGAGATAGTCAACACATTATAGCCCATATCTTTACTTCACATCTATGTTCAAATTGAGTAATACAGTGACAGTGAAACACCATTATACACAGGGCTGTTAACTTTTAGATCCTTACAGATTACATTACCATTACTTCCTTTTGAAAAATGATGTAAAAGTGTTTTACAAATACCCTATGTGAAATGAACTTTCTTTTTTGTGATATATTGTTGCATATCTATTAATTTTATTATTCTTGCAGGACCCTCTGATGAAGAGCAATGAAAATGCTGAAGGATTAAGCGGATGGACTGTTGGTGAGTTTAAAGAAGCAGTTGATTTTAATTGCCAGTAACTTTGTGGTAACAACTTTTTTAAATGCTTTTAATAAATTTAGTTGTAACAAAATGTAAATACACACATGCACAATGGAGACACACATCTCACAGTCTTTCTTCCCGTCCCCCTCTCTTTCTCTCCCTCCCTTCTCCTTTCTCCTTCACCCTCCCTACCTGTCTCCCCCCCTCTTCCGTCTTTCATCATTGTTTTCCCAATTTTAATTTTTTTAGAGTCTTTTTTTGATCAAATATTAAAAGAACATAAATTAGTTTTGTAATGCAGATTTCAATTTTATCTGATAGAAAATATAACATTAAAGTGCTAAAAGTGAGACCATTAGAAATAAATGAAGTAATTAATAAAAAAAGTATATAAATAAAATTAGAAATGATTTTAGATAATTAAACCCTATCACAAATGTCAGTTATTCAAGTAGCTTTCTTCATTTTCTGGAAATGACATCAGTTTCTTGCTAATAAAATATTTTTGCCAACAGATGGGAGGTGGGACACAGCAGCCACGTTCAGCGAGTCGGCTCGAGAGAGAGAAGCTTTTCAAACTTACAATGACATCTACAACCAAAGAAATGACCGCACTCGTATGAATACAGAAGCAACATCTAATGAACGTCCACATCAGTGTTTTGTCTGCCAAAAGAGCTTCTCACTTAGAGGAAATTTAGTTAGACACATGCGGACCCACAGTGGTGAACGCCCTTATGAATGTTCAGTCTGCCGGAAGAGCTATGCACGTAGAAGTCATTTAGATACACATATGCGGATTCACAGTGGTGAGCGTCCTCATCAATGCACCATCTGCCCCGAGAGCTTTGGCAATAGAGGTTCTTTAGTTTGGCACATGCGAATCCACAGTGGTGAACGCCCTCATGAATGTTCTGTTTGCCAAAAGACCTTCCTAGACAGTAGTCAATTAATTAGGCACATGATGATCCACAGTGGTGAGCGCCCTCATGAATGCTCTGTCTGCCAAAAGAGCTTCACACTGAGAGGTAATTTAGTCAAGCATATGAGGATCCACAGTGGAGAACGCCCTCATGAATGTTCTGTCTGCCAAAAAAGCTTTGCTGATAGAAGTAATTTAGTCAAACACATGCGGATCCACAGCGGTGAACGCCCTCATGAATGTTCTGTCTGCCAAAAGAGATTCACAGTTAGAAGTAGTTTAGTTACGCACATGCGAATCCACAGTGGAGAACGGCCTCATGAATGCTCTGTGTGCCATAAATGCTTCTCAGATCGAAGTAATTTAGTTACGCACATGCGAAAACACAACAACAATACATGAATGCTTTTGACAGCCAAAATGTTTTCTCCCATCGCAGAGTTTAGCTTAGTACATGTGGGTACTTGGAGGTGAATGCCATTGATGATTTATCTGCTCGCTTGCACTAAAGTTTTTTAGGAAGGTGCATGTAATCCAATATTTCACTTTTCGGTTGTGTCTGAAGAGAGACAAGCTGAAACCAAACTCTTGCATATCTATAAAAGTAAAAGGCAATGTTTATGTAGATTTTGCGATCTTGACTTTGATCTGAATAAATGGTCATATTGCGGTATCAAAGATCTGCCGTTGGAGTTCTACCACATTACATTCTACACACTAGAGAGAAGTATGAAGATATTACAGTGAGAATAGCCAGTTGAGAAATTAAATACTGTAAAAGAAGCTGTTATGAGGCTATCAAAAGACCGCAAAACACACAAACCATAGCCAGGGAAGAATGGAAGGGAGTCAGTGGTCAATAAAAATATTCAGTTGCATTAAAGAGGATTGGCATCAAGTTTTTAATAACTTGGATTAATTTATTTGTTTAAAATTCAAATTTTTAAATATTTTTCTTTTCTTTTTCTTTGGAGGTTATTGGACAGAAGCTATTATTTCTACTCTTTGTGTAGTTGTTTAAAATTGTTTTCAAGAACTGCACTTATGTTGCAAAATAAAGATTGAAATTTTGTCCCATGTTTTCAATAGTTTTCCATGCCTTTAAAAAAATTGTATGATCCTTCACTCCCTCGACCTAAATGCTATTATCCAAACATGATACGACTGCAATACTTATTGGTTAAGAGAATCATTATGGGATGGTAACTCCATTCCTCATGAAGCAGCGAGTGATTATTCCATAACCATGTTAAATGGAATGGCATTTATCTTCAATCACCATTCTGCACATTCAATCAGAAGACAAAGCAGTTTGGAAGTGGTTTGCAAGTTGTTCTTGAAACTGAGCTGTTTTGATAAAGGTCATAAAAGGAATCCTATTCAAAGTGCCTACATTAAAACAAATTTGCTATCAGCTAAATGGTAGTGTCTATCAATTTAGATGACTTTCAAAGTAACAAATATGCAGTGTATATCAGTATAAGTATTTGTTGTAAAGACCAAAAGAAAGCAGAAAAATGTCTGTTTCCGAGGATTATTTTCCTGAAACTGTTCCAGTTAGTTATTAAATCCATTTCCTCAATATGGTACAAATTTCATCAACTCCGAAAGTGCCCAAAAAGTACGTAAATTGTGCAGATGTAAAATTTAAGAATTTTGAAAGCAATTGCAAACCATAAGGGCTGATAGATTCATTGTCTTTATTATAAAAATGATCAATGAAAAAATAAATATGGAATATAAGCTTTAAAACTGAAATGCTTGTAACTTGAAATTATATGAAATTCAAGAGAGTTAGTAGATAAAAGGAGCAATTCTTTAAACAATAGCAGTGATGCATCAACAAGGATATGCTAGACAAAATGTGCAGATCAGCTGAATGTGTAATACGTTATTTTATAAGAATTCAAGATGTTTGGAGATAAAATTTTAATTTAATAGGGAAATTCCATAAATGAGAATGAAAACATTCAGAAGCCAAAATGTGAAAACAGGAATCATTTAGTTAATTCCATAGAGTCTAAGTCAATTGAACCAATATGAAGTAGATACCCATCCATCCATTGAATCAACATGATGTGCAAAAACAAAAAGAAAAGAAGAAAAAGGGTAAATATTTCACTGCAAAACCCTCACTTCTATACATCTGTCCCTTGCACTGTAGAAAGGATAACTTTTTAAGCAATGAATGGGGATTTAACAAATTAAAATTAATAAAATGATTCAAGTAAAAAAATGTGCATTTGACTCCATAGTATAGGAATTTTGATGCACACCCTCTTTTAAGATATTTCATCCAAAAAGTGCATTCCAAACAAATTTTACATGAAATATTTAATGACGCACACTCAGATTCTTTAAAAGAACTGCTAAAAATAAAATCAACTGTTACTATTTTGGCAACTTGGCAGCAGAAATGATGCATAAATTGTGAAGTTCATGTCAGTTGGTTAAACAGAATTATGTAGCTATTAAATATCCTAGAATAGCACTGTCCATTTTGCTAATTTAGAATGGGAAATGCCATTGATTCCAGAAATAGATTACAAAAACATTTCCCAAACAGTTGCAAAAGTGAGTACAATTGTATTTCACAGAAAAGAGGATGTAGAGTTTTTTCTTTTCTATTAATTTATATTTGCAGCGGGTCGGGTGTATATTTATTTTTAATTGGAGAATGTTCGTAGGATTTTGTAAAAGCAAATTTGCTGACAAGGTCTTACTCTCAAGTATCCCTAATAAGTTACAGAACATTTAAAATTCATTTATCTGGACTATGATATACATCCTAAAGTAAAAGGTATAACCATTCTTCATTGTATCCACAAAGCTTCATTGATATTATTATTCTTGTCACAAGCTTTCTATGTGCAACATAAATCTATTTTTCAAGTTATTTTTCTTTTATATTTGTTGTAGTCAATGCAGTTCTAAATGGTTCTAAAATAATTACTTATTGTTGGTATCCATGTATTTTGATATATGTTTCAATGTTTGGAAAAAAATAATTCATAGCCTTAGATTAAACAACTTTTTGTCATACAACAGGAAACCAAACCGCACAATTATTAGTAATTTCTAACTATTTTGGAGAAATGTATTTATAAAGCAGTTGAGTAAATTTCATTAAGATATTAGATATTTTGTGACAAATTTATTTCAAATATTGTTACTATGAATATTATAAGCAGACCTACGCAACACTTGGCAATATCTAGTTGACATAGCCATAGCTTCAAAATAAATAATGTATATATGCATGTGCTTGTAAAATTGTGAACTTGATGCTGTTTATGATATGTAAATATTGTATATAATTTTGAATTCATAAGTTGAATTGTGAAATGTGAAAATGAGAAATTTGGATGAAAGTTTCAGATAATTTGCATTTAATGTAGTGAAGAAAACTGCAAAAAAAATGCACTACCTTAAATATTAGATACTGAAATAAAATGATAGATTATTATCTGCAGACTATTACTATTGTATCATGATAATAGAAGAAAATATGAAGATTATTTTAGAAACTGTATGTTTTTAGAGATTATTAACAAGTGTGTAATTAAACAAAAAGTCAAGAACCGTTAAACATTTGGTACTAAAATGTAATGATCATTATTAATCTATTAAAGCTCACCATGTGATATATCATGTGATTTTACTTGTTTTTGATATGCTCTAAAATGATGTTAGGATTTAGTTTTTTAGTTTGTTGTAGTGATTAGTATATAGCGTACTATTTACTTGATGTTGGTACATTTCATTTTGATTTGGAAACCTTTGGTACATTGCAATTAGAATTTTCCTCTGACAGTATGTTAAGTGATCAACAATGGTGAGCAGGTAAGTGTGCAAATATATAAGTTATGGTATATTGTTGACAAACTATTTGCAGGGTGACATATACAAGAAAGAGGGAAATTAAATGCAAAACTTATAAGAGGAGAAGCAGGTCACATCAAAACATGTGCATTTGATGTGAGCCTGAAGCTTCGCAAAAGGAGAGAATTTTGAATTAATGTGATGCAGCAGCTAGCAGTAAGGTAAAGTGTCTGCCCTTAAAAATGTTATGTCCCACAAAATTATAGTGGGTCTCTCTTCTCAAAATTATAG